TTAGAGATGCACCTCCTTCGGTGAGACAGCCTTTCTCTCACACCCCCATATAGCTTGAGACCTTGAATTGTTCAGTTTTTCCATCTTCATCAGGTATGAGTATGATATACTGCTGAGCCATAGTCTCTGTGCCTTCTCCATCCATCCATCCGTCCATCCGTCCGTCCGTCCATCCATCCATCCACTGAACCACAGAATATTCTGAGTTGGAAGGGACCCTCAAGAAACATTGAATCCACCTCTTAAGTGAATGGCTATAGGCCACAAGGGCTACAAAGGAGATCAGAGCTGGTGAACATGAAGAAGGTGATGCATCAGAGGCTTGCAGTGTGATTGTGGTGGCCAGAATCAAGGTCATATGCACCAAAATCCAAATTTCATGTCCAGTCTTATACACCTCTAGGGATGGAAACTCCACCACCTCCCTGGGCAGCCCATTCCACTGTCTAATCAGCCTTTCTGTGAAGTAATTCTGGTCCAACCTGAACCTCCTCTGGCACAGCTTGAGGTTGTATCCTCTTGTTCTGTCACTGGTTGGCTGGGAGAAGTTACCAACCCCCACTTGGCTACAGCTTCCTTTCAGACAGCTGTAGAGAATAAGGTCTGAGCCTCCTTTTCTCCAGGCTAAATAACCTCAGCTCTCTCAGCTGTTCCTTATGGAATTTGTGCTCCAGACCCTTCATCAGTTTTGCTGCCTTTTTCTGGAATCACTCCAGCACCTCAATGTCCTTCCTGATTTGAGGGACTCAGAACTGGACACAGTATTCAAGGTGCAGCCTCACCAGTGCCAAGTATAGGGAGAGACTTTCCATTACCTGCATCTGTGGACATGATTTCTGAACCTGAGAGAATTTCAAGCTCTCAGGGGCTGACTGTTCCCAAGGGAAAATCTTTGGGAACTGTCTTTTTCAAGGACTGTTTGTGTCAATAAGGTTTTACTTTCCCAAAACAAGGCACAGATGTTCTAAGAGTGTTTTCTCTCTTGTCCCACCAATGAGAAGAGGGAGGTGTTGTTCCTTCTACCAATCAGGGTGACCTGATCAGAACGGCTTATAAAAAAGTTGACAAAAACCCGAAATAGAAGCTTCTTAACCTCACAAAAAACTGGCTACTGTGTGTGTAATTTCTTGTAACCCTCGCTATACTTCGTGTCCTCACGAAGTGACATGCATCCTCAAAATTCAACAGTGGGAAGGAAGATTGATTGAAAAGAAAGGATATTTTTCTTATGATACAAACAGTATTTGACTTTCAAACATTCTGAGAATCTTACCTTCAGTGTGGAGTTTCACTCAGTAAAGCACAGCTGAATTAAAATCAACCAGAGTTTTAAAAAAATTAATCCTTGCAAAGGAAGTACTCACTTGCTATTTGTAGAGGGAAATTCTCACTTTAAGGATACAAAATTAGAAGCATATTTTATTTAGATTTCTCACTGGAGAGGCTAGAAACAGAGGAGAGAAAAAGCTGATGTTAGGAAGATGATGATTTTTCTCCTTGTTGTACCACAACAGACCACTGGGTATTATTTCTCCATATTGTACATATTTATGTAGGAAACATGTAATATCTCCTTTTTTGCAGAGATATTTCAGTGATGGGCCACAAGCTTTGACAAATAATCATGAAATAGATAAATTAATTGGTGTATTATCAAACCATTGCATATAGATTTATCAGAAATTTCCTTCTTCTCCAAGTATTTAAAATGTGGACCTTCAAGCACATTGTGCCTACCCATCCATCCCATGTTCTCTATTACACTTACATGGTATCTGCTGCCTTGAACCCATACAAAGAACTGACAAAGCACTATTGTAGCTTCAGAAATTCTGGCTAACACAGCTTAAGCCAGAGAGAGACAACTCTCTGTGGCTACTTCAGGAAACAGCCTAGCCTCTTCCAAGACAGTGTTGGGATTGGTTAGAGTCATCCCTCATTCAAAAGCTGTTTCTGAGTTACTGCCTCTTACAAAGCAGTGGTCTCTACCACTTAGACCTGAAACGAGATAATTTTAGCAAAGAGGGAAATCAGGCCCTCTTGAAAGTGCCAGCTTTTAAAAGATGGCAGAAAGGCAGAGAAGGAAATAAAGAAAACGGGTCATGAAACTGATGAGCTTGGAAAGGTCTCCATAAGATTGCCCTTTGTGTCTTTTTGGTTTACCCCTCCACCTCTTTAAGCAGCCTGGTCTAGTGGAAGGTGTCCCTGCCTATGGCAGGAGGGTTGGAACAAGATGATCTTTAAGGTTCCTTCCAATACAACCACTCTATGATTCTATGATCCTACTGATCAGTGTTCCTTTATTTTAAGAGTTTTAACTCAGCAGATTGAAGATGTGATCTTTATTGGATGTATGAAAAGTCAAAACATGGAAATGAAAATGCTGAGATGTGGTCTCTGTAGCCGCCTCAACCTTCTTAGTATTTCACAGTCAATCTACAAAGTAACTCTTCCAACCATTAGCATACCACAGCAGCTATCCTTGCAGAAATACTGTTGATCCCCATCTTTCCTTGCTGTAGTCAGGCCATCATAGAGGCAGAAATGCAAAGTATTCAGGGCTAAAAGAAGAGACAGTGTAATTCTCTGGTTTATTTCTTACAGTATTTATATAAAAAGAACTGAGTCAAGGGACCTGTTTATTTGTTTTCTTTCAAGTTCAATTAAAACCAAACCAAAACAATCAAAAATTCTTTGGAAGATGAACCATAGAACCAAGGACTGCTATCAGTAACTCAAGCTGAAATCTCTGTTGAAGATCTGAACACTTCATTGACCATGCAAGAAATTGCAGTGAACATACTCCTACATGAGACATAATTAACAGCTCTTTCATGTGGTTTGGGTTTGGTTAGTTTATTGTGTACTCTTATGTGTACTTTGGCTGTTAGTCCTGAAAACGGGCCTATTCCTTAACAAAAACAAATTAACAATCTGCTTTTTCTAAATGACTTCTGGTAATAAACATTAAGCTGTCACCCTAATATCAGTTTCCCTTGCTCTGAAGTCCAAGGGCATAGTTCGAGAACACAATTACATCAAGCACAGCTACCCTTTGCTAACAAATGACTGTCTTGTTCTCTCATTCTCTCTCCATCCCCTCCTTAGTGCCAGCTCTGATCACAAAGTAAGCTAATTCAAAATAAACTGCTGAAAACTATTACTTTTTTTCCCAAGCGTGGTCTTCTCTGAATTAACAAGTTAAATTGGCTCACTGATAAATATCAGGGGTTGTGCAAAGCAGCAGGGAAAGGAATTAGCAGGATTATGGAGAGTGGGACTTCTCCTTTTCTCACCTTCTGTGACAGCTAATTCATTCAAGAAGAACCATGCAATTGCATGGGAGGGCTGTTCTAACTAGTATTCCCTGATAGTATTTGGGCTTATGCATGTACAGCTCTTCTCTGTGCTGTTCTGCAGTCAGGTTAAGTGCTCTATTGAATGGTCTGAGAAGTCCTAGACAGTTGGAGTTTCTCGGGTTACCTCAGGAGAGGACACTTTATCCATATGCATGCTAAAGCTGCTCAAGGAAATAGGCTAATCAATGAAAGAGAACCATTACAGACATCATTCTGGGAGGCTGGTTTCAGATCACAGTGCACCTGTGTCTGATCCCCTTCCAATAGCAGTATGCATTTTACTTAGTGATCACTGCACACGAAACCCATCCATTAGAGACACCCCTTGAAACAGGCACTGTCTCCCTGTCCTGTCCTGACTCAAGCCCAATAAAAACTGAAGTACCCAGTGGAAATGTGTTGCTGTGCGGTGCTGTCTTTATGCTACCAATCCAAGGAAAGCATTCTCTTGGTTATGAACTGCATGGTGCTGCCTGGACACATCACCCAGGCCTCCCCTTTCCCCCCGGGAGAGAATGGCCCTGCTCAGCCCCATGTTCTCCATTGCCCAGCTTCCCCAAAGGAGGTCTGCCTGCACTTGCTTCTCCTCTGAATTAGTCCTCAAAGTCCACCCTTTCATTTTTGTGGGAACTGGGCTACAGTTCTCCAAAGGGATAAGCTGTGCCATGGAGGGGTCACACAATGCAGTATTTGTGAGAAACCAACACAGAAGCAGGGCTGCAGCTGCATCAGCTGCTCATGGAGATGGAGGGAAGACAAGTAAGAGGGAACCTCATGAATGTCTGCAAGTATCTGAAGGAAAGATATCAAGAGGATGGAGCCAGGCTCTTCTCAGCGGTGCCAAGCAACAGGACAAGAAGCCAAGGGCAGCAATTGATGCAAAGGAAGTTCTACCTAAACATGAGGAAGAACCTCTTTCCTGTGTGAGTGACTACACAGTGGAACAAGTTATCCAAAGAGGTTGTCGAGTCTCCCTCACTGGAGATATTCAAGAACTGTCTGGATGCAATCGCGCGCCGCGTGCTCTGGGATGTTTCTGCTTGAGCAGGGAGGCTGGACCACTGTGATCCCTTCCAGCCTGACCCACTCCGTGACTCCAGGAGTTACGGAACGGCCCCGCAGCTCTCCCCGCCCGCCTCCGGGGCTGAGGCACATCTGCCCCACTCTGCGCCGGCGCGGGCGGGAGAGCGCCGAAGCGGGGGAACATTCCCAGCTCGTCTTCCTCCTGCTTCCCGCGCATGTGCGGTTGCCAGGGCGGCCGTCTCCGGTGAAGGTTTAAAATCTGCGGGACATGCGCAGTGCCGGTTCTGGCCCTGGCAAGGGGCACACGCCACATTGGAACGGCGAGCAGAGCGCTCCGGGCAGTATCGGGTACTGTTTGCGCCGCCTTTGCTTCGTCCCGAACCGCGCTCACGTCGCCCGGTTCTGCCTCCGGCCGCTCTGCCGCCCTCCCTCGCTCCCTCCTCCCCGCGACACATGCCGCTGCTGCCGGGCCGCTTCTAGCGCCGCTGCCGGGCCGAGCGACCGNCCCCGCTTCTCGGTGGCGGTGGCTCCTCCCGGGCTGCTGGGCAGCGGGGCCGGACCCGAGGAGTTTTTCAACTTCCACGAGAACAAAGTGAACGCTGTGAATGGGCACCAGCAGCCGCCGCACCCGCCTCCGGCGTCTCCTCAGCAGCACCAGTACCACCCGGGCCGCCGGAAACGGGAGAATAAAGCCAGCACCTATGGGATGAATTACCTGCTCTCCGGCAGCCGCGGCGTCGCCGTCATCAGCTCCCCCCACCAGCAGCGGCAGCCGCCTCAGCCAGCGCTGCAGAGCCCCGGCACCCCCTGGAAGACCAGGAAATACAGCCCGGGCGTGCAGGGGTGAGCAGCCGGGGCCCTGGGGGCTACTACAGTCCCAGAGGGAAGAGGGGGGGCTCGGCCGCCTCCTGCGGCCCCACCGAGAAGCGGGGTGGTGGTTTGGATCACAGGAGTTCCTCTGGAGCTGACCGCGGCAGGGAGGCCGATGGCAGGGCGCAGACCCGTGCCCTTGTTTAAATCACCTTGGTCAGTGCCGGCTGGGTGGCTCTTGGCCGAAGCAGCGATTCAAGCAGTGCTGGGGAACCCGTAGATAAAGGGGGTTAGGCCTTACGTTGTAATAGGTTGAGAGGTGAAGTTGTCCGGCCATGATCAGAGGTCACCTACAATAATTAAAGAAAGGTTGTGTGCAGGATGCATGTCAGAGCTATCAGGTGTCAATTCAGATTTTAAAGAGGAAGTGGAAGGCTTCCACTCAGAATAATTCAAAACTCTTGCGTTAAGTTTTAAATGCCTCTGCTGAGGCTGCATCAGGCTGGTTAGCTTGGGGAATGTTAACAACGTCATTTGAAAAGGAGGTGCCGAGTTCTGAGACAGGCATGAAAGTCAGAAAGTTAGAATATTTCTCTCAAGTGTGTTTTAGCTCTAGGATAGGTTGAGCTAGCCAATACCTGTACAGAAATCTTGCCTTTTTTAAGAGAATGCTTTTATGAAGCTTATCCTATCTTGTAAGCTATACCTTTCTCCTATAAATGGGTAATTAGTAAAGCTGAGTATTCAGTTTGATCTGATTGGCATGGAGAAGGGACTGCTGTGTTTCGTCTGTAAAATTTCATTCAATCAAGGGGAAATATTACTTCCTAAAATTAAAGTTACTTTATTATTGGGAAAAGTGCTAGCTGTATTGACTGTCTGTAGCAGACTTCTGATGTCACTTCAAAAACAGTTTCTTGGAATAGTCTAACATCAAGACCCTTGTATGCCTATGGAATAAAGGCACTGCATATTTGTAGAGGGGGAATAGCTAAAGATAACAGGGTGCGAACTGGGGATTTTCAAGTGAGAGATTTAACTTAAGGACAGTGTCTTCCTTTTCTCTTTCGTGAAGCACTGTCACGTGCTGAGTATGTTAAAAGTTATAAAGCAGTATTAAAATATATTTTAAAAGTTCTGTTTTTGCAAACCATAACCTCCAGAGGGGGAGGACAAGACTTGTGACCACTGCTTTTTAGTTCTGGACTGACATTGAAAATTAAAATTTCTTACAGGAAGCTAGAATTTGAATCTTTAAGAGGTGTCTTGCACTAGGAACTTTAAGTCCTATACTAAGAAGTTTGTATGTCTCAAGTTCCAATAGTGTCTTTAAAATTCTGTGAAGTTTTTGTTTTAATTTCATAGAGATCTGGTAGAGCACTGAATTAACTTCTCAATTCAAGTCAACTCTGTGTGGGCAGATCTCCAGACAAGTGGAGGAAGCAGCAGGCTGAGTTCACCCAGCAGATCAATGGCAAACCTGTGAATGAAATCCAAGCATTGCAAGTTTTGTCCTGTAGCTGTTAGGCAGCACCACCTATGCCATTGTCATATTTTTATTTGTATTCTTCTGTCCTTTTTTCTTTTAGCTTTCCTGTAATAGAGGCTATACCACTCTTCAAGTATGAGTTTACAGAGAATCCATATGCCAGGAAATTGTTTAGCTGAGATTCAGTTGCACTGCTCAGTTCTGTAATGTAGGTAGTTCTTTTGTTGATGTGTTAATGGCCGTTTTTTTTGCTAAATATCTTTGAATGTGGGATCTGTGTCTCCTGATCTTCTGTCAAGGATCTGTTTTACAAAAGTGGGACCTGATTCTGGCAGTGGGATACTAGTAACTGAAGCATGTGTGATACTGTAGTTCCAAACCATTCCTTAAAGCAGCAGGGAACTAAGTAGTGCTGAAGGAGAGCATGAGTCTTGAAACCATAGACCTAAATATGACAAGCAGTTCATACCTTAAAGTTTGAGTTCTGTTACCCTAGGTGAATCTTGCACAAGTATATATTTAACAATTTTCTGTTCAGTGTTAGTAATTTGTTATGAAGTGTTTGCATGATCGAAATAAGAATACTGTCACTGATGGAGTGGATTTAGGTATCTGTCTTCTGCAGTAATTCTTGTATAGTGGTGAGCTTAACTTTTTCCTGAAGCCTGGCTGGTGTGTTATTTGGCAATTCATGTGAAAATGCACTGAAAAGGCTGGGATGGGGACAGATCCCTACAGGAGTTTCTTGTGGATCCCTTACATTCTTTTAGTTTCCTGCTGTTCCCTGGAACTGTCAGCTTGGTCCTGAAGTATCACTTTGATAACTCATCATCTGTTGACAAAGCATCTTCAGTGTTGCCTTACTGGTATATACAACTGTTAAAAAACATGATCCTGAAAACTTTTAGCTGCAGTCTGGTTTGGGCATTGATTATAGGAGGAAGGACTTGATCATAGGTTATGCTTCCCCTGTACATGAATGGTAGAGCTTACTCTCCTGTGAGTATTGTTTGTAAAATAATGCTTTTCTACAATGTGTTGGAATTTCCAGGTGATTCCAGTGACTCACAATGTTACTGTCTTTTGGTAACAGAGTAAACTGGGTAATCTCTGTTAGCCCTTTCCCAGACTGCAGTTCTACTTCTGATGAATTGCCTGTGCGCTTTGAAGCAGTTTTGTAGCTCAGCCTTGCTCATTCAGAGCTGAGGATGGATGATCTGTGGCACTCTAAGTCGTTTTATTCACACTGCTCATAGTCAGTAGCTTTGTGATAGTAGATGTGGTGATGTGTAGGAATACTGTATAAACACTGTTTTCCTCTGTTTTATATACAGCATTCCTTTTCTTCCAGTGGCCTCATGCTTTCACCACTTTGATAGCACCACGAAATTCTTTGCAAAGGAAGTTTTTCCTATAAAACACAAGTGTGAAAAGCTGAGTTTGATTAGATTTCACCCTAAAGCTGTGCTCTTGGATGCCCTAGATTGCCCTATGTTACACTTTCACAGAATTTTGGAAGGTAAGGAGTGAGGAGATTGAAGCCATATTTATTCCAGTGCTTCAATAGAGTGATTAATTTAGCAACACTGTAAATTTCTATGTGCCTGTGTTTAGTTTAGGGCTACAGATGACAAAATGATTGGTTTCAGATGCAAGGCAGAGAAGTGTCCTTTTATATTATGAGCTTAATTCAAACTAGTAACTTCATGTTATTTCTTGGTACTGTAAAGTATCCTCTTGTGGGGTTTAAAACTACATCTAGCCTCTCAGGGTGTGCATTCTTAGTTCAGCAAATACCTTCTGTTTCTGTAAAGTTAGTATCTTAAATGTATCCGAGTAACTTAAGCATCCAGAGAGTTTGAAAGTGCTCAAATATTGCTTCAAAAGACCTTGTCAGGGTATTCTAAGCTTTTTGCTGAAGCCTCTACTGTTTTTGTTTGGATCCACAGCTAATAGAGTGCTTTCTCTGAAGATGTAGCTAATACCTTGTGAATGTTATAAAATCACATCAGATTTAATTATTTTGTTTCTTAATAAGAATTTAACAAAGTAAGTAAAGAATTAAAGTGTTTTTAATATTATGAGTCCATTCTGCTTAATACTTTCAACTAAGTGTTCAGTCTAATTGTGGATGTTGAATGAGATAAATGCTGAAACATCTGGCATATCTGCTTGGTACATTACAGTGCTGTGCAGAAACAACAGAACTGGCTTGTTGAGGATTAGCTTGGATATCAGAACTGTTACGATACATTGGAATGGTGCTCTGCCTGGACTAATTAGTTTTGCACAGTGTCTGATGACTTCCAGCATTCATTTTTCCCCCTGTATAGCTTTTGTCTTTAACTCTCTTTTGATAATGCCACACAAGTTCTGCTGCATAGTACAAGAGCATCAAGACCTCTGCATTTCCTTATGCTGAAGGAGGATTCAGGACAGCATTCCCTGATGACTACAGCAGGTACTTGGGGAGAGTTCTCATAAGCAAAGTAAGCTTATGGTACCGTGTCATGGGGTGACTTTACCTTTAAGATAGCTTTGAGAGCTAAAGAAGTTGAAGCTGCTGGTGGCTGATGGGAGTTTTTCTCCTGACCAATTATCGGTCATTTTTAAGAATTGACAGCAGTTTTGACCATTGAAAAGTGAGATCAACTTGTGAACACCGCCTTAAGATGTAAAGCCAGAGCTCTCTTGTTCTCTGTGTTTTCCGGCTTCTGACAAAGTAACAAGGCTCTGTCTTGGCCTCCTCCCCCACCCTCCAGACCGGACAAGGCCACAGAGGGTGGGGGGGGGAAGGGGAGAAGCAGAGCTGGCCAGCCTGGTTTAGTTTGTAGTTTCTGCTGCTGGACTGAAACCTGACACCATGAACACTTGCAGCTTTTCCAAGACTTTCATTCTTTTACTACCTGGATAAAACGTACAGATTACTCCTTTTTTCCCCAAGAGACAGAGAGAGAGAGAGAGAGACAATCAACATGAAGAAGACAGTGAAGAAAAGAGTTAAGTTTTAGATGGGGAAGAGAGAATAAGGAGATGCTTTATAAGCTGAAATATTTTTCTGTTAAAGCTATGGAGATGGACAATAATGGTCTGAAAAAATCTCCTTTAATTCATGATAGAGTATATTGGGAAGAATGGAGTGTTCAAAGTGTGGATTTTGAGCAAAAAGTAGAGTAGTTGTGATACAGTGAGGTGCTGGAACAGAGTGGAGTGAAAATTTGAGGCCTTGAGGGCAATGAGAAAATTGTTTCCAGAAAAGCTCACAGAGACAGATGAAGAGGACTTCTGCCTTTGAATAACTTATCCTTAAAAAATGATAACCCTAGACTCATGGCCCATACACACTTCAGAGTGATGTGAAATGGGAGGAGTGAACTGATGGCAGATTTCCGGGCAGCTGGCATCAGAGAAATAGAAAACTAAAACAGAAATAGTTTTCTCATGAGAAACTCCATAGATTAGCAGAAGAAGACTTCTGTTTCTCTACAAAGACTGATAAATTGGGACTGTTTTGAACACCAAAGTTCCAAAGTTTTTTTGTCTC